CCAGCATCAATTTGATCCAATATATTTTTCTGGTCATTCCGAGGTAATAGCTGTTTGACAACCATTATCAGCCATGACAGGAGAAGAGGAGATCAGTGAAGAAAAGGTAAGTGAATAAGTGGAAGTGCTTGTTACCAGTTTCTTCGCGTCTTTAAAGGAGATATATCATCCTAGACATGATTTTGAAGTGGACGTGAGAGCACCGTTGCACGGTGCACATTTGAGGGGATCCGCGCAGTCAGTGCTATCATGGGTCTTACTGCAGCGTGACCAAACTTGGCAATGGCGACAGGCTTTTGCTCCATGTCCAAATTATTGGTATTTAAAGAAACATATCCAGCCTTATTTTGATGAAGGAACCTTAGTGAGGGTAAATATAAAATGATACATATTTGTTAAAAAAATGTTGTCACCTACCTTTCCTGTTGAACCGTTTTACCTCAAATACACCTTGAGACAACAATCTCAGTATTTACAAAATGATCTGCTTAAGTTGATTCAAAGATTGCTGTCTCTTTGCACACTCCACAAGCAGTGAACCAGACCAGAGACGAGTAACATTTGTCAAAGTACCACACATACCTTCAACTGAATTTGAAACTACAAAAGGATTGAGTTTGAGGGGCTCACCAACAATCCCTTCAACAATCGGAAATCGTGGCCAAGAATCAATATTTTCCACAGAATACTCATCAGAAGTTATTGCAGTATCTGTATCAATGTGCCGTCTTTTATTCTTTTGTGGAGCGAATTATGGGGTAGCCATAATGAAAAAAATGGAGAATATTCCACGACCCTGCTTCAGGCCTACTGTGTTTGCTACTCCTCCTACTACTACTGCTACTACTAGTTGTGACTGTCATACTTAAACATGTTATTAATTTGCACCTTTTGTAGGAAATACCCATGTCCTTATGTGAAAAAAGGTGGCTAAAATGTACAAAACTGTTTTTCTTTTTGTCAAACATTTATTAATTTGAATTCAATAGACATACATCTGTAACATATGTGCATGAGGTATATAAGTGTAGCAATTCATAGGTTCATAAAACATGATCAAGATATGGGCACTATACATATATTCGACTGATGATTTCACGATAACTGCCAACAAACTAGGACGGCGAGGGAAAAGGCAGAACGTTTTTTTCCGTCGCCATCCTTTGATCAACAATTTGAATGAATTTTAAATTTTAACCACTTTGATTGGCGTACATATAGACAAATAAGCAAAGAAGAGGAGATTGAATCAGAAAAGTGAAGAAGTGGAAGTGGTTGATACCAGTTTCTTCGCGTCTGAAAAGGAAATATCACCTGTGCACTTTATTTTCAGAATGTGGGTCTGTGTTACAAAAGAGAACATGATTTTGAAGTGGACATGTGATCACCACTGCACTGGGCACATTTGATGGTATCCATGCAGTCACTGCTACCATGGGCCTTACTGCAGCGAGAGCAAACTTGGGTATGGCGACAGGCTTTTGCTCCATGTTCAAATTATTGGTATTTACATAAAGAGAGTGTTTGTCGTATACAATTCAATTCCGATGTTGAAAAATCCGGCATTGAAGAAGGAAGCTTAGTTGGGGTAAATGTAAAGGCATACATATTTGTTATTTAGATGTTGTTACGATCTCACCTAAGACGCACCTTGATACACCAATCTCTGCTCTGTATTCGAAGTTGATTCGAAGATTGCAGTCTCTTTGCACACTCCACAAGCAGTGAACCAGACCAGAGAGTAGAAACATTTGTCATTGTACCACACATACTTTCAATTGAATTTGAAACTACAAAAGGATTGAGTTTGAGGGGCTCACTAACAACCCCTTGAACAACCAGAAATCGTGGACAAGAATCAACATTTTGAAGTAGTAATAGTAGTAGTAGTAGTAGAAGTAGTAGTAGTAGTAGTAGTAGTAGTTGTGATTGTCATACTTTAACATGTTGGTCAACCACCTTTTGTCCTCACCTGGTTAATGTCTGGGGAGGTTTATGTCTATGATTATAGTCTGTCCCGTAACTTCTATTAGAAGGTGTAAAAGTTCACCCACTGGCATCCGGTCATTAGAAAAACAAGCCAAGTGCTAACTGCTTTGAAGTATTTCACTATTCAAACAGTATTGGTAATTGCATTATAATCTCAAGTCAATCAAGGTTGTGTTGATTTTCTACGATTTTACTTACATTCATTACCGATAGTTTGTATTGATTTAATCAGCCATTCACTTTGATATATCAACCAACAAGCTTGGGGATTGTCATGTGTATTATAAATTGAAATTCGTCACCACTTGTCCTTTTCCGTAACCTGACACTTTGACAGCCTTGAAATGACATGAACAATCACGACTCTCGTTGGGTGACAAGGAATTAAATCTCCTGTGGAATCCGTTCAAGAATATTTCCCAAACAAGAACTTGCATCCGGCAGGTGTGGCCTAATCGACTGACTAATCAATCGAATTCATGCCTGGGAAAATGTAAAACGAATTATTTCTGGACGGACATGTACGTAAACCATCTGTCTAGTATTTGTATAAGATCGTGTTCTTTTCTCCATTTACATTTGATCTCGGTACATGGTATTATTTTTCTTGCACTTGCTATAGCGTAAATTATAGAAAATAACCATCGCCTTTGCAACATAATGTTGACAAAACTTGTGCATTTGAATGTGTTACAAATACCCGCCTGAAACACATGGTGCTCAATATGACTGGTGATGTCTCGCATGATGATTACTGTTCGTGCTCACTAATGAGCTGTCAGACTAATGATGCCATCTGAACGTGGTTATAGAATGAACATCAATATTTCGTGAGGACAACATAGTTCACAAAATTATCATGGAACTGTTCTGGGTGAACAATACCTTCCAAATGACGTGCTGGTTTTCTTGGGGAATTAGTCAGCAAAGAGCCAGAGTCACAGGAGTCTAATCACAATTTTGTTTACAAGAACAATTAACAATTTACCATATACTTAGAAAATAACTGAGGGTGCCACAGAGAGTCGGTACAACACTCTGGGCTGTGGGAGTGAGGTCTGCTTGGTAAGAGAGTCAAACCCCTTCTCTGCTAAAACTTGGCTACAGTATGTATTTAACAAAAAATTGAACAATAAAAAGGAATAGGATTGGTTGATACACGATTGGTTGTGCCCTATGCTAAATGGATGGCTAGACAGAGAGGAATACTTAATCCTGTTAATCCTGTTGGACTGGCACTAATCATGCTGACATATTTACTGGATGCTTTGGAAAGAGATTATGGTGTCACTATAGACGAGGTTGTGTTGGGGCTAATCCTTAATGCACTATAAACAAGCTTGTATGGGGGCTAATCCTTAATGAGTCTAAATTGCTGAATGTTATTCTAATATAGGTGATGACAGATTTACTTAAATAAAATAGTTCAAGGTAATCTATAAGACTATGTAGACATATCTTTTGTCTGGGACATGGGATCTTGATACCTAGGCTAGCATTTATCTAAAAGCTTTAAATCTAATAAACTATGTAGACGTAACACTTGTCTTATTGAATAGTATGTCTAGATGCGCATCCATTACCTTAGGCTAGCATCTATCTACAAAACTATAACTGAAACTACTGATATTTTATATATACATTTTACCTGATGATAAATATTACTTGCTAAACTATAATTATATGAAATGATGTATAAATATTACACCATGATAACTCATAAAAGCACTTGATGTGGATCTAATTATTATAGGATAACTTAGGATAAATGTTATCCCATGATAAAGTAAAGAAACGAGACAACAGACCTTCGGATTTTTTGTGTGTAGTTTTATTACTAACGTCCTGAAATTTAATGATCAGCATGATTTGCATTAACTCTTCCATGTCGTGAATAATATATTTAATCAGCATGTTTTCTAAAGCTGCTAATTGATATAGGAAATGCCAATGCAACTTATGTGAACAGTCAACATCTACTGACTGTCGTATTGATTCGTAGACCATTCATGTGTGCTTGGATGAAAAGATTAACCACCTGTTACATGTCTATTCTCAAATTGAAATAATATGTTAATCCAGAAATATGTACGAAAAAGAATTTGGTGTGAAACAAACAAACAACAAACAACTGGTATACAATCAACAATCGAGGATGCTCTTTCTACCAAGATGGTAGTTGTCAGTATCAAATACAAAATACAGTGGTGATAGCTAAAGTCATTGATAATAATATATATCCACCCAGCGGTGACAGTGGTCAAGCAGACGAATATTGGCTGGGCAGGGAGTATAAGGACGGTAAGCGATCCTCACATGAAAGCTTTCTTGACTGGATGAAAATAGGTGTGAGACAGAATGTGATAGAGACCAGGCAGGCATGCTCTTGTCCCACTAAATATACAACCTTCCGAGCTCGCAGAACTTCCCAGACAATGCTGTAAGGCTCTATACATTGCTGGACAAGTCTCGCCGTTTCCAGATGTCTATACCTCACACTAGCATCCAAATACTTGTATAGTAACTTCCTGACGACTGCCGAGATTAAATGGCACTACATTCCTGACGTCAAATCACTGTCCAAAAACAATGTGATGAGTGTCAACAAAATATCCACAACAATGTTACACAGTTAAATCTTTGTTGAACAATAAACATTGGGAAGTTCCCGAAATAATTTTCAAACAAACAATCAGTTTTACATCAAACGCATTTAAGTACACAAACATTCAAGTTATCTTGTATCCTGGCGGTAGGGAAGTCAGGGAATTATTCAACACTTCCATGATATTCAGAGTTCTTTTGCGCATGCTTCAGTCACTTTGCCAAAGCCACAATGGGCCACTTTGACTTATTAAATATGGACACAAATTGATTGTCGAAAGTTTTCCAATATACTCATACAAATTCATAATCGCATGTAACGACTTATGAAACAAAAGAAACATGATAATATATTTGGTGAACATGTTCAAATCACATTTCACACACAAACCAGCGTAATATCTTACAGTCACGATCATCCCATGCAGACACAAATATCCCTAAAGAGATCACGACACAGTCCTGGTCCTGGCCTCCAGAAGTAAAGCTGGGCTCCCCTTTGCACCACTTCGTGTACGTCGGGACGGAACCGTCAGTCCATCTGTAGATGTTGGACCTGTTCGTGTCCCGCAGTCCAATCCAGGGTTCAGCTGAAACACCACCAGGAACGGCTGACGAGAGGTTCTGACTGACGGGAGACTGATACTGAGGGGCATGTGTGACTGGCGTAATGGTGTGACAGACGCGACAGTATGGGAGATTGTGCTTTCCTGGAGGTTATGACTGGAGGGTGAATGTGACTGATCACCCGATTGCATTTCTCGACTCTTACAACAAGCAAAGTCGTCTTTTACGACAAGAATGGGTTGCTGAAGACCAATTCAAGCACAGCTGGAAGTGACTCCTGGGCTAACAACACCTTGTCCATGTTTCTCCTCAAGTGATAAATTGTCAAACTAGCTAATTAAAGTGTTTTGAATAAAGTCCTCGGGTTTTTTGGTAGTTTTTTATCAAAACTGATGCGTTGGTTTTGGGACAACGACATACAAAGCGTAAGGCAGTAGGATTAATCTGACATAGATTGGGTTACTGTTGGGTGGGCAAAAAGGGACAACGAGGACAGATGAAACACATGCGTGATGAGGTGTCGTTGATATTGCTAGTTTGCATGACTTGCATGATTTTACAAATCAGATGATAACAGCTTGATAACTTCAAAATAAAAACACCGTTAGAATTAGATATTGGTGAGTTATTAGTCTCACATATACTCCTCACAAAAAAGTTAAGCAACAAATCTATTATGTGTCAGTCATGTTCAAATATTCCAATACCTAAAAACTGACTAAAGCAATACAAAGAAAGAGCACAAACACACATTGTCCTCAAAGGGAACTGAAAAGCGTTTATGCCTAACATGTTTACAAATGATCAAAACCAGTATCATGAAAAGAGTCGTGCAAAATGTGCTGCCCTGAAAGATGATTTTTAAAAAAAAATGAGTTTAAGTCATTTTGAAACAATGATCCAATGTTCAGTAACGTGTATGTCCACCATTGGCTTGAATGCAAGCTTCTACACGTCTTGGCATTGACCAGATAGGCCTATCAAGTGTCTGTGGTGGAATGTTCTGCCATTCTCTCCTTAAGGCCTGTTGAAGTTGATCCAGATTCTGAGGACGAACATGAAGACCATCAACATGCCTTCCAAGAATGTTCCATGCTTGTTCAATGGGATTAAGATCCGCAGACCTTGCAGGCCAGTCCATATGCGTGATGTTGTTGGTCTGAAGAAGATCAGTGACAACTCTTGCTCAATGTGGATGAGCATTTTCATCCATAAAGATGAAGTTAGGACCTGTTTGTTGTTCCATGGGAATGATCACAGGTGTGGCAATCTCGTCCCTGTACCGTACACCAGATAGGTACCACGTCTGATGACCACAAGATCAGTTCTGTGTCCAACCCTGATGCCAGCCCAGATCATCAAACTTCCACCTCCGTACTGGTCGTGTTCAGCAACTGTACGGTTGGGGTATCGTCCATTACGGTTTCTCCACACACGTGCCCTACCATCGTTGAAGTCAAGGCAGAATCTTGACTCGTCTGTGATGAGAACATTACGCCAGCGATTGACCCTCCAGTTACGGCGTTGATTGGCCCAAGCAAGTCTCTGTTGTCGATTGTGTGCAGGCAGTGGGATACGTCGAACAGGTGGTCTGGACCTCAGACCCTGAACGTGAAGTCTGTTTCTTACTGTCTGTGTTGAGACTCTGTTTCCTGCAACTCTCTGAAGGTCATTCTGGAGAGATCTGGCCGTAGTAAACCTGTTTCTCCGGGCCGGGGTGGCTAAATACCGGTCCTCACGAGGAGTTGTCACCCTTGGACGACCTGAGTGTGGTCTCTCTGTCATCAGTCCAGTTTGATGGTATCGAGTTATCACTCTAGAGATGACACTGCGGTGAACATTAAAATGATTGGCAACAGCAGTTTGGGTGAGACCCCCCCTGTCCCATTCCAACAAGCAACCTCAGTTGGCGTTAAGTGACGCCTAGCCATGTCTAAAGTGTGAATGTCGACAAATTGCCCTTGCTGGCAGTTTTTAAGCAATCAGGGTGCATGGGTGAAGTATGTAAAACATGCATGTTGTGCATTTTGCATGTGTGTTTTGAGGGTGGTTGTGTTCAGGCGATGTTATCAGTGTTATCGGGAAAATCTACATGAAAAAGTCTTTAAGTCGAGTATTCGTAGGTTATTCTCCTGCCTGAATTTGTTCTCATTGGATGGCATTCAACACTGATGAGACTGTTGCACGGAAAATAATACTTGTTGCTTAACTTTTTCTGAGGAGTATATGTTGATTACAGAAATCTGTAGAAACCAGGAGCTATCCTCACAGTGTCACTTACTGCTGTTTTCGTAGTCCTTGAAGTTGAACAAGCCTCTGACGATGTCCTGTTTCTCCGCGTTGTCTATCTTGACCAGTGTAGCGCCGTCAGACCTGCACATCTCTAAGGCTCCGTCCCATGTACGTCTCACATCGTACCTCTTCAGGTGGATCTCACTTCCCTCAAATGGGAAAGTTGTGTATCTCTTTTCTTCAGCTTTAAGTTTGTCGGGAGTGCTTGGCCGACCTCTCTGGACCTTTCCCGATCCGCAAGACTCTGTTACGAACGTATACGATTGCGTTGAGACAATGACAGATCATTGAGGATAGTAATCTGACTTTTTCACTTTTCATGTCGTTGCCCCATCTAATTTCAAATATGAGACCTAATCGGCACTGTGTGAACGCAGCCTTAGCGAAATAGTGTGTTGGCCAACTGACCGTAATTGATAAGATTTTCAATGCCTGACTAAAAGCAAAGATAATTATTTATTAAATTTTGATTCGAAAGGAAGTATTTTTTATGGCCTCCCTAAAGTTCATAAGAGAGCACATTGAATTCTGTTATAATACCCCCTAAATGATTTAATATTACGGCCAATTATCGCGGAACCCAAATGTCGCCCACACAGAATCGGTTACCTTATGGATAAAGTGCTAAAACCAAAAACTAAACATGCCGAGAGCTACATGAAAGATTACACTGATTTTGTGAACCAACTTTCTGGATCAGTGGAAAATGGTACCAAATTTGTCACTTTTGATGCAGTTTATACTCAAACATTCCCAATGATCTCGGCATAGAACAGATTGAATACTGGATAAATAACACCGTTCGGAAATCTTAGAAGACATTGTCCTCTGTTTTCATTATAGATAGTATTAAGGACATTCAAAACAATAAACCTAATAATTTTGAAGGTTCTCATGATAACTGCAATGGCGACAAAAATGGCCCCTACTTATGCAACCCTTGTACTTGTTTATTTGGAGGAAATACTGTTCTAAAAAATTGATGAAAATTCGGCATCGAATTTGGACAGGGATTTCAAGATAAATGGACAAGAGTTTTAGATGATTGTTTTGTTCTGAGGAATCGGAATGATCAAGACGATCTACAGTGTATTGATGGATATTTTACAGACACTTCATCAAACAATAACACAGAAAAAGATGTAAATTTCGACCCAAACGATTCCAAACAATAGATCAATTACAATTCCTGTCACCCCCATCATATTACAAACAGTGTCCCTTACTCATTAGCACATAGATATTCTGCGATAGCGTCTAACTAAGATTGTGAATAATGTAGAATCGATGGACTGAGGGAGTCTCTATTGGAAAGAAACAACCCAAGAAAAATAGTAGAATAGGCAATAAAAAAGGTTAAATCACAAAACTGGCGTGCTCTTTAAAAACCTAAAGATAAACCATACAAGAAAGTTTTACAATGTTGTTCTTTTTACTTTCGAAGACGGAAACACTTTCTATGTCCTTGCAAATATAGATAGTGCTTCAAAAACGTTTATTTATGTCAAACAATGAACTATATGCAACGCCAAATACATTGGACAAACAAGGGACACCCTCAGAGAGAGAGCGAGAGCGAGAGTCCACCGACAACAAATAAGGGACCCCTCTTGTCAGTGTATCCCACTCAGTCAACACATTGATCAATGTGCCGGGAATAAAACACCAAAGTTCGTGGTATTCCCGTTCTATAAATGTGGAAATGAAGCACTGAGAAAAATAAAAAAAACTAACTTTATTAATACTTTCAAGCCAAAATTAAATGGTCTCCTTTAATTGAATTATTTTATGCAGTTACTGTACATTTTACTGCCACTACAATACTTATTTCTGTATGCGCCGTACGCCTGCTCTAGACAATGTTATGTGTGTTATTGTGACGTCACAAAGTAAGATTGCACTTTGATGTCTTTGTGATCTATAGTCCAAAGGCCCGAAGTAAAAGTGCATCGACTATTATGGGTGAGTGGTACATGTAAGTTTACGTTTTGACACTACATGGTGCATAAACGTCATCATACAAAAAAATATTAATTTAGATGGAATATAATGATTCCTCAGATCTCAATATTGTGTTCAGATAAGGGCACGATGTTCGTCTGCATATAGGGGCGGTCGGGTAGCCTTGTGGTTAAAGCGTTCGCTCGTCACGCCAAAGACCAAGGTTTGATTCCCGACATGGGTACAAAAAGAAGCCCATTTCTGGTGTCCCCTGCCGTGATGTTACTGGCATATTGCTAAAAGCGGCGTAAAACCATACTCACTCACGCGTCTTCATATAATCTTTGTCACACATTGTTCAAAATTGCTTCCCACTGGCATGAAATTGTTTCTTATGAAACATTTGATCATGCTACTTACGTCGAAATTGCCTGAATGATATTCTTAATTGTCTTATATTTACGGTGATCAGATATTTTTCACATTGACACTGCTGCCTATACAGTGAATACAATGTTGCATTTTGATTATTACCAGTCCATCTTTACATCTCGTACATTCCAAACCCCGTGTCCAATCCGCGCATATCCATCGCCCAATTGAAACACTGTAATTTTAATTAATGTACACCAGATATGTTTATTTCTAGTATCACTTGCATTTTCACCCAGATAAACTAACATCATATAGGCTTTAGAAGAGTAGTGGTAAGGGCGCATGGAAGTGTCTGTTTTTTTCCACTAAATTGATACATTTGAATATGTCAAACCTCAGAACCATACAATATGATTGGCAAGATATTAGATTCAACGTATAAAATAAAGTTGATGTGAAAGATTTTGAAACTTAAAAAGCTGCGCAGAACAGTTTTGATAACCTTCTTGGTTTTAAGAGTCAGAGTGTTTTTCGATGCTTGCCAAGTGAGACTTCTAGAAATTAGCCTCAGGGATGTTATACGACGATGAAGCTTGAATTAGTACAAGATTGTAAATCCACTTTTCTGTTCTAGAAATTTTGCCTTCGTTTAAAAACAACATTCTTGTTTTGTCTAAATTCACTTAAAAGAGATGATGTTTCACAGTAATTCTCTAAAATATCGATTTGCTAGTGGGGTCCAATTGATATTAAAAAAAATATTAATTTAGATGGAATATAATGATTCCTCAGATCTCAATATTGTGTTCAGATAAGGGCACGATGTTCGTCTGCATATAGGGGTGGTCGGGTAGCCTTGTGGTTAAAGCGTTCGCTCGTCACGCCAAAGACCAAGGTTTGATTCCCGACATGGGTACAAAAAGAAGCCCATTTCTGGTGTCCCCTGCCGTGATGTTACTGGCATATTGCTAAAAGCGGCGTAAAACCATACTCACTCACGCGTCTTCATATAATCTTTGTCACACATTGTTCAAAATGAAACATTTGATCATGCTACTTACGTCAAAATTGCCTGAATGATATTCTTAATTGTCTTATATTTACGGTGATCAGATATTTTTTCACATTGACACTGTTACCTATACAGTGAATACAATGTTGCATTTTGATTATTACCAGTCCATCTTTACATCTCTATGGGGTACATTCCAAACCCCGTGTCTAATCCGCGCATATCCATCGCCCAATTGAAACACTGTAATTTTAATTAATGTACACCAGATATGTTTATTTCTAGTATCACTTGCATTTTCACCCAGATAAACTAACATCATATAGGCTTTAGAAGAGTAGTGGTAAGGGCGCATGGACGTGTCTGTTTTTTTCCATTAAATTGATACCTTTGAATATGTCAAACCTCAGAACCATACAATATGATTGGCAAGATATTCGATTCAAGGTATAAAATAAAGTTGATGTGAAAGATTTTGAAACTTAAATAAGCTGCGCAGAACAGTTTTGATAACCTTCTTGGTTTTAAGAGTCAGAGTGTTTTTCGATGCTTGCCAAGTGAGACTTCTAGAAATTAGCCTCAGGGATGTTATACGACGATGAAGCTTGAATTAGTACAAGATTGTAAATCCACTTTTCTGTTCTAGAAATTTTGCCTTCGTTTAAAAACAACATTCTTGTTTTGTCTAAATTCACTTAAAAGAGATGATGTTTCACAGTAATTCTCTAAAATACCGATTTGCTAGTGGGGTCCAATTGCAGAATCAGGAAACATAACAACATTGTCAGCATATTTATAAAATAATTAGTACATGTATTGCAAATAGAATGAAAACAACTTTAGATCACCTAATTCATGATAATCAAACTGGCTTTATTCCCGGAAGATGTATTAGCGAAAACACAAGACTTTTGTATGACATTATGTTTGAATGTAAAAGACTAAATAGACCAGGAATGTTGCTGCTGATTGATTTTGAGAAAGCGTTTGACACAATATCAAGACAGTTTATTTCCAGGGCATTAGAAAAGTATGGTGTTGGGCCTTATATGATAAAATGGATACACCTACTAACTAATAATGCATCCTCTTGTGTAATACAAAACGGTCATATGTCTTCTTTCTTTATTAATGAAAGAGGTTGCAGACAAGGAGACCCAATATCACCATATCTCTTTCTTTTTGCTGTGGAAATATTAGGCTGTATGACAAGAGACAATAAAAACATTATAGGAATTGTATTGAATGAGAAAGAGTACAAATTAGGTCAGTATGCAGACGACACACAATTATTCTTAAACGGAGAGGCTGACTACCTGTATGCAGCAATAAATATACTTGATTGTTTCTTTAAAATGTCTGGACTTAAAATAAATATTAATAAAACAAAAGCCATATGGATCGGGTCGAAAGCAGAGAGCTCAACAAATATTTGTGAAGACTTAAAGTTAGACTGGCATGTAGGCAATTTTGAAGTGTTGGGAATTATTCTCAACCCCCATTTGCAAGATCTATGGGTTATCAATACCCGAAAAAGACTTGAAACAATAAATAGGTTATTGGCAAACTGGAGAAGAAGAAACTTGACTCTTATAGGTAAAATTACTGTTATCAAGTCATTGGCTCTCTCAACTCTTGTCCATATTTTTATGGCACTTCCAAACCCCCCAGAAGACTTTATTACAAATTTAAATAAAATTTTGTTTAGTTTTTTATGGAATAATAAACCAGATAAAATTAAAAGGCAAAATCTGAAAAAAA